CGGCCATCCCCCCTGGAGGGTGATTTCTCACTTTCTGTCTCTCTGTCTCTGTCTGGCGAGCACACGCACCCTATAGCAAAAACCTCTCCAAAAATAAATAAATAAATAAAAATAATTTTTCAACAAGTATTAATTGAGTCATTAAGATGTACTGTTTCACTCTGGTGGACTGAATAAACTCAGCCCATTTTCATGCAGCTCGTATTCTAGCTAATATCTCAAGAAAAAAAGAAGAACTCTCTCTTGATTAATAACTACATTTAAGTAATAATTTTTGCCCTTAAATTAATTGAAATAATAATGCCTTATTTACTATCATAACAAGAGGACAAGAAACTTGTTTGATTCTTTTGGTTGGCTCTCAAGATATATAATGTGTTGTACAAAGGAAGATAATCTTTAATGGTTGACTGTGTAACTGCTTAATGATCACCTTACCTGATTATCTAAAATCTATCTGTTTGGATGATGCATAAAATATCTGGCAAAGTAACTGAACTGGCAAAATGTTTTGGGTGAATCAATTAGAGTCTCTTTGTCAGATGCAATCCTTAGGCTGGTGTTTCACTAACAGTGTCTGATTTTTAATGAATAAATAATGGTTTATTCTCTCTAGAAGCACTTATTAGAATACCTGCTCCTACAATTAATATAAGGTAGTCTTAGGAACATAGAAGCATACTGCAAAATTCTCTGATCACTTAAAACTATTCAATAATGTCACTATCAATGAATAATAATAGTAAAGATTTCAAAAGTTTTGGGTTACCCTATTTATTATTCATTTCCAAGTTTTTCTTAAGATCTAGTAGTCAGAGACAAAATGCGTATATTGCCCATGACTACAATGCCTTTCAGATTACTGCAGGAGAATCAAAGTCAGATGGTGATAGTGCAGCACTATTCTGCTTTCCTCTGCTGCGCACACCATCATTTTGTTTGTCTCATGTTTGGGGCTCCAAAAGAGAGTGAACTAAAGGCAGTTTAATCCTACAAATGCTACTCTGTTCTGTATTTGTGCATATATTCACCAAAACATTTCTAAGAATGGATACCTTCTCTGAATTTTCCAACTCCTACCAGCTTCTTTAACCTCTAAAGTGACCTTACCTTCACCTTTTATCCTCCTTCCTTCCATCACAATCTAAGATAGTTTTTGCTCAAGAATTTCATGATCATGGCCAAATGATTTTTGAATTATTTTTTAAATTAGAAAAATAATTTTAGACTTCAGATCGTATTATATTGCATATCTACTTTTTGCTGCAGTCATAATTTTCTATTGGGAGATTTGGTGTCAAAGACACAATAATAACAGCAATAAAACAGAAGTGAAATAGAAAGATCTTTCTAGGGTAAAATATTTATAAATGTTTCAAATCTCTTTTGAGCAAAATGTCTTTTGAGCAAATATCTTTTAAAACGTTTGAAAAACTGGAGTTGGACATAGTTGATGTGTCCATGAATATCTCAAATATGAGCGAGGAAAGGAAAAAAATGAATAGAAAGAATGACGGTGGAGAGCACTTCATACATGGATTCTATTGTCTACTTCTCCCTATAAAGTTCCTGTAATCATAAAAGCTCCTCTTCTTGAAATGAGTTTATCTTTAAAATAACTCTTGTCACCTTCTGGGTGATTCTCTTGTCCCCACCTCTTCTTTCCAAGAATTTACTTATTTAGTAGGTTCAATATCTTACACAACTTTTAAGTACATGCTCTGCAATTTGTAATGTTTATACCTCGCATTCACAAAATCATCTCTCAAATTGCTCTTCCATACTTAGATACAAATCTAGCTGGGACTCCAAAGGATGTAGTCAAATACATTTACTTTTCATTGAATAAGAATCTGATTTTTCTTTTGCTGATTAGTATTTACCTTTTATTCCTGTAAGTTTTTTTCCTTTATTTTCTTTCTCTGTGCATATTTATCTTTTTGAAAAATGAATGTTTGCCAAATCTAGTCTGAGTTGGAAAGGAAAGTGAGGTGAGGGAAAGTATTAAAACTTCTGACCAAGAATACCAGCAACTGTTTTTCAATACAGAGGTAGGCTATATGGCTGGTTAAGCAATTAAATTACAATTACACTGATTGGTATTATAAATCATGCTTTGGAAAAATGAGTTTTTGAGACTCATGGCCCATAGTCTCATTTTTTATTTTTCACATGTACCTTAGACAAGAAATCAGTACATATGGAAGATAATAAGGGTTGTTTTATCCCCTAGGTTGGCCAGTTTTTAACTTTATTATCCTATGCTAAGCTCTAGAGAAGTAACCTTGATCATTTATTTTAAAACATATAGAAAAACTGTAGCCTGCTTTATCTAAGATATGTTTCATTAATGCAGAGGAGAAGCTTTTTGGTCCAAAAGTAATTGATTTGAATCTGCACCAATGACCAGAAATTCTTAGTTTGGTTTGAATAGTAAATAAACAATTTCAAGAATTTTAGCAATTAAAGCTATTTCTATTGTAATGGCATTTCTTCACTTAGTTCCAACCTGCTCAACTGCTATTTTTCTTTTTTTCTTTTGGATATCTATTTTATAGAGATATTCCATGTATGTCTGCATTTGGCTCTGCTAGTGTGACATCTTACATAGCTCTTGATAAAGAACTTTTAGTAAGGCAAGCATTAAATATCATCCTCAAGTTTTAGCGCAGTGAACTTGCACAAGCAAAATGATGCCTACAATAAGATTCTACAAGTCCTTTCAGTGTCTTGCATTCACCAGTAAACTGAAGACATTTGAGAAATATGACTTTATATACTCAAAGGAAATATTTAAAAATAAATTAAACAAGAAACCAGGCGCCTCTAGGTAGGGTAAAGGAAAAACATTAAAATTTCATAACAGTTCTAGAATTTGCTCGATAAATTTACATTGGTATCAGAATACTATTCCAGACAATGAAAGTACTGTGAGCCCTAAGGTTAAGTGAAAGCTTGTAAGGAAAATTATAGCTGCACAAAAACATTGTAGACTTCCAAATTTTAAAGGCATTAAACATGAAGGATAAACACGTACTTTGCTCATTTCCTTGGATTAAGTATGGTATTTTAGAAAGGTGTGCACTTTCCCCATTTTACCCATCAAATTTTAAAAACTCAAAATTCAATCTGCATGTAGTTATGAAGAATATTTGGATTGCATTTATTTGCATGGGTTTGAAGAAATCAAAGTACTGAGTACAATTTGTGGGAAATGTCCAATTTGCAATTCTGTCTGCATTTCAACTGAAATGACTTATAAATTAAGAATCATGATACTACATCTCAGGACATTTGTGTTCAACTGTAGTGAGTTACTAAGAGAAATATGAATACATTTTTCCTGCTTATGATTTTGATATTTAAAGACATTAACTTTAGATGAGCTAATCACTATTATTGAAGTATTATAATTACTCTTATGGGAGTTGGAATTTACTAGCAATTAATTCTCTACTATATTTTATTTTAAAAAGACCTAGCTGTCATTAAGGAATGACACATTAATGTTAATTTATAATTTGTCCTTTATTTTAGGAAGTAAACTTAATGACTCGTAAAAACTAGCAATAGCCTCAAAATATAGAACTGTGATATATTTTTAATTGTTCATTTAGCCACAACCTGAGACTTAATATAGAACTGTTTTAAATTTGTGCTTTTTAGTAAAAAAAAACGTTAATTTAGCTATAACCTGAAACTTAACATAGAAGTGTATTAAATGTGTGCTGTTAAAAATGAAAAAGGATAGAGAGATCTGAAAGAGCACTATATAAAATGGGTGGTAAAATTTTCAATCTGCTACTTGAAACTGACTTTTTTCACTTTCTTGCCATCTCTAAAACTTGTATGCCCCATGCATCACTCTTCTATGTTAGAGGCGTGGTTATAAAGTAGTGAAAATGGAGGCTTTTCTGGTAGCAAAAGGGTTAAGTTCTTTTTGCTTTACCAGTTTCAAATTACAATGAGAAGCCTCTTCTTTCCCAGCAGGGTTGTGCTTACATTACTCTTTAGATCTCTCTTGAAGAGGGCTGGTATATTTGTGCCTGCTGGAGGTGGAATTAACAGTAAGAAGGAGAAAGGGATTGAATGGATTTACAGGAAGGATTTCAAGTAAATTCAGGGAAACACATTTACTTGAATAGTACAACCTTGAGTCTTATTTTACACTAAGACGACACAAAAGATGTTAAAGTTATCACCAAGCTGCCGGACAAATATATATTCCAACATCAAGGTGCTGATCAGCCTATATCTGTGATTCAGAAATCAGGATTTGTCTTGGAAAGAGCTCAAGGGTTGAGAAGAACTCAAGAGCAAGTGAAGATAACTTTGGGAACTACAATTTATCAGAAGATCAACTTTTGTTAATTCAAATACCACAAGCTTGATTATCATAAAGTCAAACAGGAATGCATAGGTCATCTGATCAAATAATATTAGCCGTCTCCTGCTACACCAATGCAGCACAAACTCTTAACAACTGTGGATAATTGGAAATCTGAGTTTCAACTTTCTTAGAAATAACTACTTTTGACATATTCCAAAATATTTAAAATAAGAAAGGAAAATCAGTGAGGATGTTGTGTTCAGAAATGTCACTGTCATGAAAAATAGGTAAATTTGGTTTTTCAGCTACT